TTAATGAAATATATATACTCTCTATCTCTCTCTTTCTCTTTCCCTGCAGATTCTCTAGAGTGGTGAACGAGAAATTCAAAATAATAATTTTCTTACAATTTTCTACGATCGCATTCACGTTGTGCTTCAACCTTTATCGAATGAGCAGCATAACGGTGGTTTCTAAATTTCTGGAGGCGTCGCTCTATTTAATTCGCATTATCGCGCAGATATTATACTACTGTTGGTTCAGTAACGAAGTGAAACTGAAGGTTTGTCATCGAAACGAAAGAGAAAGGACAGAGTTTCCTCCGTTGTTATTAAATGTGCAGTAATCCTCTTATTGCAGAGTCTCGAAGTGCCTAATATGATATTTAACAGTAATTGGACATCGTGGGATGAGAAGACGAAGAAGATTTTGTTACTCGTCATGACACGAACAACACGGCCTATCGAATTCACCAGTGGCTACTTGGTAACGTTGAATATCCAGTCTTTCTTGACAGTTAGTATTAGCTAATATACGAAGTCACACTTCTTTTAGTCTTTGATCACGTATTTGAGATATGTTTCGAACGGGATGTCAATCTCGCAACAAACACGAGTTTCATATTTCGAAATTTAAATAATAACATGTAATCCCAAGATCTATATTTGAAATAATGGCAAGCATATGTAATAAATAAATAAAGTCAGTGAAAAGTATGGAATTCGACTTAATTACTCGTGGCCGAAAAATTCACGTTACATTTATATAAATTTTGCCTCGAAATAGGGATAAAATATTTTGTTAAATAAAATTGGTTGAACGTAAGAAAACGTGAGAAAATATTTCGCTATTTGTATGAAATTATTGGTAGAAAATGAAGGATATCTTTTAGTACATCAATAGTATTAAATAATAATAAATGATTTTAAAAGATCGTCGTAAGGTATCCTTTTTTAAACGAAGCGAATCTCATTCGAAACATACTTTTACCATTTAATTAGAAATATTTAATTCTTTGAAACGAAAGAAAAACGAGCTAAAAATTTTCTCCTAATTTTCTCATTACAGCTGATGAAAGCCTCGTACTCGGTGTTTAACTTGCTGAAACAGACCAAGTGAGAAAAACGTACATTGAAGTTATTTCTTTCGACTCTTCCGGAGAAATAAGTTCCACAGATGTACCAATGCATGTAAAGTACACAGCAATAAATTTTATATTATCAACTACTGAAAACGTCTGTAAATACTTACTTTGGTCGTAGAAATGACTGGAGATTGCCCTGTTTTGTCTGACCTGTTTGTCGTGATAGACGATACGGTGCTTCGTGTTTTTTTTTTTTTTTTTTAATTCCTCTAATCAATTTGTAAATAATGCATAATCTCCCCTTTTGTTTGTATGAAATACCGATGAGACATCGAGTTCCTCCATCATAATTCTAGTTCGTCAGCATGCTTCACCAATAATATACAGGTCTTCGTGTATTGTAAAGAGAAGTATTCCCAAACAAGTGTCAAAAACGAAAATTCGCATCTTGTTCTTCTTCGGGACACATTGTCATCGCCCTCAGAATAATCTTTTCATTTTTCTGAAAATTGTCCAAGCGAACCACGCAGCTTGGTAACCATCGTTTCCAATTTTTTAATATATTACAATTATGTATATTTACGTACATTGCGAATTCATACAAGATTTAGGAATGCAAATAACATGCAAAACTGTGCAAAATATTCAATGTAAAGTGCTCTTTACGGTATTGAAAAAAAAAATTTCTACTTTGATGATACGTCTTTAATTTGCACGAATAACCAATTACACGTGCAATTAATTAGAATTAAAGCATATTTAGATGAAAATAAATTTTCAATATACCTAACATTATAGTTTCTCGACAGTCTATACTGTGAAACAGTACGTTGACACGACACCACTGAAGAAAGATATTTTTGTGAAAATGAGAGTTATTCTCTTTTGGTGACAGTTGCTGAGGACTTTCTACTCGGCGTGTAATTTACTTCAACAAAGGAAGGCAGGCTAGTAAAAACAGACAATATCGAATAACTTAAACGTCAAATACTCACGCGAAATTTAGTACGAGTGTTTTCACGCAGCAATAAAGTCTTAGTGAGAAATACAGTAGAAGTACAATGTTCCCCTTTTCGTTCTTCTTTCTCTCTGCACGAAATAACAACAAAGCCATTCTCTCGATCACCGACTCTTCTCCTTACTGTTCGCTGGAACGATACGAAAACTTCAAAGTAGTTGAGCCGAATTTTAATAATAAATGCCTTAGCCAGAAATAATAGGATATACAAGTATTGCAACGTAAGTTGGATCGTTGAAACATTAACGTAATGATATAGAACGAGTCGCGATGGGGGTAAGTGAACCGGAAACACATGCGTTCCGTCAAAAGGGTATACGAACTTGTCAATATTCTGAGACAGCCGGTAACATTTGGATCACTTACAATCCCATTTCTCGCATTTCTCGTGTTTCTGCTGTTTCTGTTTTACCGTGACAAACTAAATAGTTAATATTCGTCGAAATTTCAATAAGCAATGAGAGTTTCTGACGATGTAAAATCGATCTGAGCACACCGAGAATTTCAGCCGATGAAAATGACCGCGCACACGTTACAATGTTCACGTGTACTTCTTTCGATTTGCGGATGCTTGCCG